TTGTCTGTAAAATCTGTTGTTAGTTTTATGTTGACCAGGTGACTAATCGTTTGAAAACTCAGTAAAGCACCATTTATCGGTAGCTTTGTTGTAAACTAAGTGCTGTAAGACAGAGGTGAAAATGCAGGGGAAAAAATGGAAACTATTTTTGGTACTTGTGTTCAGCAGTGACCAGGAGGGGAAGATGATGTATGTAGGCTGTGTGGAGGCGAGAGAGTCAGTGATTCACCTTCACCCTTGAGTGACGGCAGCTGCCATTTTCACTTTTCAATCTTGTTCTTCCTGTCTGGTTGTGACATCAGGCTGTGTCATACTGAAATAATAATGAAACACGGGACTAGCTACAAGGCTCTCTCATTACTCCCCAGAGCTACAAATAGATTCTTGACCATGTTCATAACTGAGTGTGGGAGCATTTTTTTGTGTTTGAAAATTGCACTGTACTGCCATCTCATAGAAGATGAGGAATATAAATCAAGCTGACAAAGAAAAGGGAATTGAAATGTGCAGTAAAAGGACAATTTAGTTATTAGACTGTGGAGCTTTTACCAGATCAATAAAATCTGCTTAATTCATATTGGGATGATAAAAAGCTCATTGCATTCTCTAATACTCAGAAATATTAACATAACAGAACTGTAATTAAAAATCTTCATCTGAAGTCAGATGTTATACAGTTGTTTTGTCACTAAACAGGATATGCAGGCTTTTAGATTTTTTATATCATATAGAACAAGAAGCGCCCTGAGAGTGCAAACAAGGCAGCTTTCTCTCTGGGCAGGATCTACTTTTAAAGGAATCCTATTAAATTCTGGATATATTTATTTAATTTTATTTGTTCCTTTTAAATGTACTTTAAAATGGAGTGGGTGTAAAATTTATTGTTTGTAGTGCAGTAAAAATAACACGTTATGGGGTCAACTTGAAAGAAAGGCAGATCTGAAATGTGACAGTGGGATCAGAGGTCATTATATAGGACATTATTTGGATATTTTCATGCAAACTGCAATGTGATATTTAGAATCCCCATATTTCATTCCCCTATATACCTGTACGTTGTCACTACGAATAATGGCAGTAAGAAACATATGTTTAAATAGCTCTGCACGGCATTATTATCACTTTGAACTTTAGATCAGTCTTAAAGGACAGATCAAAGGTCAATTGAGCGATTACATTTTAAATCTTTATAAGGTATTTTATGTTTGCTGGAAATACACCTCACACTTGATTTCTAATTTTTAAGGATTTTTGTTAATTTTTGACCAGTAAATCATTAAGCTGGCCTCAAAAACCTTGATGTATGTAACGTACATTTTAAGTGATCCGTAACATGACAGCACTGTAAATGCCTACAAAGTTTCATCACAATTCCTTCAAAACTTTTAAAGCAGTTGTGTTTACAGACAGAATGACACGCACGCATGTAAACACTATCAAGCTTTTGATCTTCAAAAGTTCTATTTTGAAAATCACATCGTATTAAGGAGTCTTACTGTAATACACCAACTCTCCATCTCTGTCTGTCCGTGAACTCCTCCTACAGCATACAGAGCCCCTAGCAACCACCTATCCATCCATCCACCTTTTCATCCATCCTCTTCCACTTATCCTCATTAGGGTCGCAGGGAGCAACCACCTAACAACAACTAAATTCACGAGTCTGTTATGCTGAAATGGGGATTTTAAAGCATCGTGTAGAAGTCCTATAACTAGTAAGTTAGGTCATTACTAAGATTGTCATTCTAATATGTATGAGGGCTTGTAGTTTGAACATTTTTCATACATGAGTATAAACATTACATACACACAAATACCGACAGAAGCAGCTTTAAATTGTGAATGGCATCTTAAAGAGTTGAAATCTGTCCTGATTTTCCTTTAAACTGCAAACAGCCTGACTTATAAATTCAGTTGTTGTTTTCCTCTTACTGTATGTCTATACTAAAAACCTCAGACAGATAGATTAATTGGTTTAAATGTTTTGAATACGACAAACAAGCTGGTCATCATAGTGATTGAACAGTTTTTCTAAGACAAACTGTGCAGGACTATAGTTTTAGTAAAAACTATAAATAGTTTTAGTAAAAACTATAGTATAAAAACAATAAAGACTGCACCTGACAATGTAAAACGGGATTTGTTTTTATTTGCAACAATTCCAACAATGAAACTTCAAACTGAAGTGAACATATCACAGAAAACCAGCAGGGATGTCATGGCCTTAAAATGTGCCACTAATCCTTTTCAGTACATCCCAGCAGTATTTATCAATTCCTAATTAACACGACCCAGATACACGACAGAAAAGGCTGGATGAATGGACAAATTAAAAATAACGGATTTGGGTCTATTGAAGTTTTTTGGTTTGGTTGGGCTACTGATGTATGACAATGCATATTAGAGCTGTTACAGAATAAAAAGAAAATTACGGAGCTCTGGGATGGGGGCAATAATTTGAGAAATTTCTGAGATTAAAGTCGTAAATTTATATATAAAAAAAAAAACCTTCAAAACTACTGAGACAATAAAGCCAAAACTTAGCGAGGAAAAAGTCAAGAAAGTTATTACAGAATGTCATGCACGTTCACTAGTGAGGAAGCTAATGAGTCTGTATGCACATGATAAAAGAGCAGGGACTACATAGACATATATAGGGCTACAAATCCCTCCACATCATACATAAGATATCTGCTCATCCAGATATCTGTCTTGACATTCACTGCGAACATCAAGACGATATCTCCCAAATTAAATGTGATATTTGTGCATATTTGTGTAGCTACACTATGTTATAGCTGTTATAGCAGTTTAAAAAGTTCTCCATCTGAATCTAGCTTTGGATCAATTCCAAAAGCTAATCATCTTCAAGTTGGACCAAGCCCCCCCCTCTGGTAAAGATCTCAATGCAATCAATCATTTTGATACAAATAATTACTTCCTTAGCGGAGGTAAATACGGTGATGCTGGGCTAAAATAAGAGTTCTTTATTAGCATTTATTGATAAATCCAATAATGAAGTATAGGTTATAACCTTGTTAGGTTATCTACTTGAGGCATAAGTAAGCAGCAGGGTCTGCTGGTAATGAGTTGAGCCAGCCTCACACAGATGTATGGATGCATGGATGATAAATGACTTTAATCTCTGAATTTTATCCCCCTCCATCAGCTGGCTCTGTAATTTTTCTTTTAACGTACAGCAGTCCTATTATGCTACGGTAACAATGGGTTCTCAAGCCAGTGTAGAACTGTTTCCCAGTTGTGATGTTGTTGAATGAAATGGTACTACGAAAGGATTCCTGCATATACAATCTACTCTGACAAGTTTAGTTTTTATGTGTTTGGTGTAAACAAAATTCTTTCAACAGTCATATTAAAATGTAACATTACAGCAGGGATGAGAAAACAATTTAGGATTTTGCAAATTAAGACTGTTTAACACGAGGCTTCTGTGGGAAACTAAATTAAACGCTCTGTAGAAAATTTAAAGGCCTGGAGTTACAGTACTCTAATAAATCTCAGAAAAAAACGGAGAAAAAAAATCTCAAAGCCCAAGGTGATGTCCTGAAATACCTCATTTGTTAGACCAATACTCTAAAAGACTCAGATCTAGTCATTTACGAGCGCATAATACAGGAAAAAAGCATAGTATTTAAACTGGAGCGAACAGTATTTTCCTGCTTCATACCAACTTGATTAATGTGAATTATTAGAATAGCTGTTCAGGGAATGATGTTTTCAATACTTTCTGGTACACAACTAAAAGCAATGATTAGATTTGTTTTCCTTGTCATGGCATAAAGTAGGTTTATGAAATGCAGAGTTTAGCAATTGTGACAGCCTCTCACTCTCACCACACCTGGTTGTTGTAAATGACTCACTGGTATCACATTTAAAAGCACTGGGTAGGGCTTAAGTGTAGATGATGTTCTTAAGAGAGTATAAACAAGACACCAACATCCCCAATGAGACACAAAAAAACTTTTTGCTCTTAAAAAAACAAAAGAAATTGGAATTGGATTGGAAAACAACCTGCGCAATTATTCTACAATGGGCCTAAGTGATACACAGCAAGGGGCGGATGTGGCTCAGGTGGTAGAGCAAGTCATCTGCCACTTGGAAGGTGGTGGATCGATGCTTGACACCTATGCGTGTGAATGAGACTTGCAGTAGAAAGTGCTTTAAATGCTCAACTGAGTAAAAAGGTAATATATAAATATCAATCCATTTAATTGAGTCTTTTGGTAGCTACTCTGAAACTATGACACAATTTTCCTGAGCGGTATTGTAGCTCTAAAGGGCCATTTTAATGAGCCTTATGTTATTATAAATGGTCTATAGGTATAATTATTTGAAACTGCCATCACATTTTTATTTATTTTTTTAAATGTGATGGCAAGGCCAGCTTTCAAGCTACTGCCCCACAGTCGGTCGGTCTCTGGTCAGTTTGATGTGTAGCTCTGGAAGGTTGTGTTCGAAATGCGTTTCCTCCTTGTCTTCGCACTGTGATGGCATACTGGGTGTGTGTGGTTGGTTCCTACTTGATAAAAAAAACAAAACTATTGGTTGTTGCGACAGTCTTTCCACAGGTGACATTTTAGGAGAGAGACCTTTATGGACATTGTTGGATTTTGTTCAGTCTTGACCTTTGAGGCAGATCTCTTATTAGAAATGGTCCCCAAAATAGTCTCTAAGGTTACAAAAATCTTTACATCTCAGTCCTAGCATTCATAATGAGACCCATCTATTCCCCGAGCTCATGAATTTTCACTTTTCTGAATTTCTACATGGGGTAAAATCAACTTATATGAATTAAAAATGACAATCTGACAAGCTGGAAAGCTGTTCGTGTTTATTACAGGGCTGCAATTATAAAAGTAAGCCATAGTGAGAATATCTCTGTGCACTGAATTTTGTTTCCTCCCTTAAAGTTTGAGAGAAAGCCATTTAAATTCAAAAGTACAGTAAGCGAGCACCATGGAGTATGATTTATGCCCGTTTTTGTTGCAGATGAGTGAAAATCTGTGACTGCTAAAATTACTATTATCATTCCTGGGAATGATTGACAACACAAAGGCTCACTGACAGGCAAGCAGCTGGAAATCCGGAGTTTCCATGGAAATTGGACAACCTGTCAGACACACCGTCTCCAAACAGCGTTGGTGTGCTTGTGTGTAAATCATTAAATTTAGCAGGCTGCCACATGGGGCCAATGTCGACGCTGTTCCACTTCTAAAGACAATGAGCAGATGGGTGTGCGCTCACTGGTGAATACCGACTCTGCTCGTCTTTTGAAGAACCCGTGTGACATATTCAGAGCACCGTGCCCGACTCTTCAGCCTGAAATCTCTCAGCCTTTTTGGAGATGGCTGCTCCAATATTGTCCTGTCACTGGTTTCTCCCCACCAAGTGAGGTGTGAAGGCAGATAGACACTGATCTTTATTAGCATTGGGGAAATCATAATAGCAGCAGAGTCAAGCGCTACACTCAAAGGCTGACTATATTCAATTCCACAGAGTGCCTAAGTGGGATGGAGAGGATGTGGAGTCCATTTTGAAGTGGATTAAGATCAAATGCATCCATCTGAGATACAGTTGCTTTATTTTGGCAAACGGGGACATCTCAGGGCTGCTCTGCCACCCTGGTATACGCTGATTGTAGATGGAGACTTGGGCCCAGTTGCTTTTCTTTGAAACACAATACTCAGTGAAAGAGAACTGCATTTGAAAACCTCCCTGGTTGTTTGAAATGTTTCCAGTAAAGGGAAAAAAGGAAGACAGAGCAGGGTTGCAAGTCAACTCAAGCAGCACTGATTTCAAGGATGTATTTGTGGCATAAATATGCTTAGATTATCAGCTCTGCCAGGCATACCTTCAAGGTTTGGAACAGTAAAAGCAGATCGGGTGCCTTTAAATAGTATTACTCTGTAACACCATTTAAGAGTAATTAAGGAAGCTCAATATCTTCTCAAAAAAAAGAACCAAATCAGGCAGTTAAAGATGTAAATTTATTCCTTTGATTCAGTGTTTCATGTTTAATCAGGGCATCAAAAATCCTCCAGTTCAGGGTATAAAAATGTTCCTGTGCTCTCTGACGGTGGAGCAGGAGGAATACGATTACGGGAACTAGAAAATAGGGAAGGAAAAGGAAATAAGAAGTGTTGCATAAATAATGTATAAGAAAAGGTACAATGTGGCTGACGCAGCAGCTGCATTCCAAAACATATGGTTTCATTTCCAACTCCATCTATTTTCTACTTTAGCTGCAAGGAAGAGTGGCAGCGGACACGCAATGGGTGGGTTTAATCCATATGCTCCGAGCATCACTCACCTCCCTCCAACAATAAGCCTAATGTAGAGTGGTTATACAAGACCAGAAGGGGAGAGAGTACTTCTATGCTGAGGCATGTTTTCCTCTTTTTACCCCGTGTGGGACGGCCGGTGGCTTACTAGGTTATCACTCACTTATCGCTGCCCTACCACGGGACGCAGAATGGCTGGGGAAATGGCTGTCCATCACCCAGAATACAATCAGCAGAGTGCAAGGCTGGGGAGCTAATGGATGTTTCCACAGGGAGGGCAATTTAGTGAATGGGGAAAGTGGATGGGTCCATCACGAGAGATGGGATTATGTACGATTGTTATCCTTCACAAGTGTGATATGACGGTCAAAGGGTGTAATGTATCTGGACAGGAGAGACATTAAATACTGATCTCTCTACAGCCCACTCACAGCCAATCAGCCAGCCCTCGTTTCACAATTTCTTTTTCTGACCGAGCAGACATTCTGAGTAGCACTTAAACAAAAAGGCTGCTGCTAAAATATGCAGAGCAACGCGCTCCCAAAAATAAATTAAATTCTTATCTGCAGACTCAGTTTAGTGCATTTTTAACCGAAAACACTGCAGTTGTGGAATGGCTCGACAAAAACAGAACATCTGACACAAACACACAAAGAAAAATAAATGTTAAAGTCTTTGCAAAACAAAACCCATAAAATTCTTGTAAAATGGCTGTGTGATGCAGTTGTCCTTTTTTTATATAAAACATTTAACACAGAGCACAAATGTTTACATCTATGAGCTGGGGTCATTTCAAAGTAAAAGAGAAAAAAAAAAGGCACCAAGAATCACTCAGTTTCCAAACAAGCAGCAGACGTCATTCCAAACAATTCGGTTTCATTTCCAGGAATATAAGCATGTCACAAACCGCTCCTTCCCTCAAATATCACGGGTCTGCAGCTTTACATCCAGCAGTGTAAACACAGGAGGCTCAGAAGATGTGTTTGAGATGCTTGATGCCGTAGGTCTTGAAAAACACCAGGAGGATTAAAGTCCACAGGCCCAGGATGAAGCCATCAGGAGGGTGCCAGTCTTTCTGCTTTGGTTTCTGAATCGCAGGAGGGGTGAGGCAGGTAAGGTAAGGTGGGGGGTGGGGGAGGGAAAGCAGAGGGGAGCGGGGTGAGATTGCAGGTTAGTAATAGTGTGTATATTTCTCCTGTTGAGGCCACCGCTGATTGTTCTGTCATTCACGCAGGCAGGCAGGCGCAGAATTGCACACACACACTCGCTTTATCTCTTCACGCACTTTATGTACACGATCTGCCGTCTCACACACACAAACACGCAAAGGTTCGCACAAAAGCAGGTGGTAAAGCTCATCAGTACACCTCCCCTGTCTTGTGTTTGTCCCATTCACTGCCACATCATCACTTTGTGTATGATTATACTTTTAAATTTCGCTCGTATTAAACATGCATCTCACAAGGAGCACATTTATATGCTAATGCGGCTGCAATATTCTGCAGGGAGATGAGATTTAACCTCTAAAAAATCTTCCTAACTCCACTGCTGGCGACAAAGCTATAGATGGGCTGCGAGGATGCACTTAAGAGATTTCTGTTATCCCTCCCTATACAAGCTGTCATTATCCAGTCGGGAAATCACCAGTCAGACAAGGCATTCCCTAAAGCCAAAACCTGAAAACTTGGCAAAGCGGATGAACACACAGCAGAGTGCTCAAAGTCCGACTGAGCCACAAGCTGCACACACAACAGTAGAACGACATATAGTACTATAAAGCAGCTCTGAAAGTGCTTAGGAGATCTGTGTCTGTGCAGCTTTCCTCAGTACTACTCCAGTATCCAGTACATCTACTCCTTCTGATACACATCAATATTGGCTTGGCACACACACCCACTTGCACATACTGCAGTAGAAGCCAGAGCCGAGCTGACAGCAGACTGACAGGCCCTAGGGGATTAGACACTGGGGTGAAAGCCTAGTCCAAAGTCATTATTACCCACAACCTCACAGCCAGCGTACAGGCAAAAGACAAGTTTTAAAGTTAACTACAACAGACCCTCTAAATCAAGTGAAACCAATAGCAATCTATAATCCTCACACAGGATTTGCTGATATTTCTGCATATTGTTTTGATCTTATGTATTTACAGAGTGATTCATGCTGAGTCACTCTCATCCATGCAATTGTTTTTCTAATTGTATTTTCAGTAAAAGTTTACATGCACAAAGTAGTGACGCATCTGGCAAGCCTGGCTATTTTTCTCATGAATATACCAACAACCCAAAGAACAGTGGAGATTTAGCACTCAGTGAGATGTGGCATGTAATGTCTGCTCATATCTGTCCTCTTTTTTTTTTT